GCACCGCTTATTGCCGGTTTGCATTCTTTCATGTAACCACAATCTTGTCCCAAGGGACAATGTCATGTGACCTGTTACACGAATGCCCCATGACCTACCAGTCTTGCTAATGTGACTGCCATTACAGGTATTCTAACCCAATTGTTAGTAACAGTTGCCATAATACGAATATTACATAGATGATTATCCAAATTTTCGCCATCAATGGGATTTGAACACCCAACCTACCACTTGGAGGGTTGACAACCTGACCACTTATTAGGTCATCACACCCTTGTTGTATTATTTTTAATTTATATTATTAATAATTCTGTTTAGAAAATAAACACTGCTGACTGTTTTGATGATTTTACATATTAATCTTTAGAAAAGAGTAAACTGAATCATCTACTTTTACAAAATTTTTCTTAAAAAAAAGTGAAAGTGCTAAATGAACTAACTTTTTAGCTTTTGTAAGTTTTTAACTATTATAGATATTTCCAATTTTAATACTTTTTCAAAAAAAAAACTCTTTTTACTAATCTGCAGTACCAAAATTGGCATTAAACAAAATATAAACAAATCTCAAAATCAAGACTAAGAAACAACATTAGCGCTTCTAAGAACAAGGGCTTAGCATTTCAAAAAACATATACTTAAATAAAACCAAATTTTTATTAACTTGAATGTTTAGTTCTTTTTTCAGGTTTTTAGAAAATTTTTAACAAAATTTTGTACAAATTATGAAAAATTGACTTGACCCTAAAAACAAAAGCATACAACATATGACTAATAAACAACAACAAACAAATAAACAAATACATCTCATTTTAGAAAGAGTGATAGCTACACAACAATAACAACAAATATAAGATCACATGTTAAATCGGATAAGAAAACAGGCTTAGAATAAGTATTAAACAAACAAGAGCCAATTATATTAGTTACAATAGATAAGATGAAAGAGTTACACAATCAAGGAATGTTATATTGCATCAGTGAACTAGATGCCAAAAATTTAAGATTTATAAACAGTGAGATATTAACAGAAGAACTAAGAGCAACAATGCCTCATGTTCCAGATAATAGCAAGCATGTAGCCAAAAGTCTAGCAATAGTAGATCCTAACAAAATTACAGCAATGAATTTACTAATTTATGAACAAATACCAAATTTACTAAAACAAAGAGAGAGTAAAATTCCAAATAACACCCTAATCAAAAAATGGGCAACTAAAGCCAAAATGACTTATGAAAACTCAGAAACAGTAAACTATATAACAAATATGAATAATGAACAAATACAAGAAGAAACAAACAAGATAAAGGGTATAAAGAAAAAAAGCAAAGTAGAAAGGCCTCAGGAGATAGTTACAAGAAAATGGTGACAAGAAGAAGAAAATCAAGCTAAAGACTCAAGACCTTGTGAATCAGCTAAACTAACTAAAAACAGCATGCACATAGAGGAAAAAAACTAGTCAGATAGAGAAATAACAAACCAAATACCAGTAACAGCTTTCTTTGAAACATCTAAAAAAGAAAATACAAATAAAACAAAGCTCAAAAACAAGAAGTTCAAAGAAGATTAAGAAATTTCTTTAAAATATATACTTGATGATAATAAAAGAATATATAAAAAAGAAGTTTAAAAAGAAATCCAGAAGTAAAAAGAAAAAGAAAAAGAAAGTATTAGAGCTTTAGAAAATCAAATTGTGGCAATACCAGTAGAGGATAGCTTGTAGTTATCTAAAAATAGAGTGTATAACCACAAAAACTTATTTAGAGCAAATATTCCAGTATACAATCTACTAGAAAATAACAAAATTGAAAGAGTAAATTATCTAAAATAGATGCTAAGAGACAACAAGCATATCAAATTGATCAGAAGAGAATTTAAAAGAGGAAACAACTGAGTAGTAATTAATTTTAATTGTGAATTTGGCAGAAGTGTAGCAATTGAAAAAGTTAAAAGAAAAGATGATGATTGGCTAGTTATGATTCCAGATGAAAAAGTAAAGAATTCTGCAAAAGTAGATCATAAACAACCTAAAAAGCACAAAAAAGAATTTAAACAAATAAGTTCAAATAATATAGAAGAGGAAATCATGAATAAAGAAAAAGAAAAAATCATAACAGAACAGAAAATTCTGACAATTTGGGATTTATCTTCAGATGTCAATGAAAAAGAAATAAGATACATGTGCAAAAGGTTTCAAGATCTACACATAATATGAGTAAAGAAAATGCAATATAAGGCATTAGCAGTAATCAAAATAAGTATTAAAAAAAAAAGAAATATGTCCTGGTCCTTACCTTTAGGAAACAATAAACTTATAAGAATAACTAAAGAAGATGAAAATTACAACCAAAGAGATAAACAGTGCAAATTTACAACAAGACTGTTAGATATCTCCAAAGGAGCTTCAGAGGTCTTACTCTTATAATGTTTAAAGAACAAAGAAGTGAAAGCCATATATATCCTAGCAAACAAAAATAGAAACCAAAAAAAATTTACAATAATAATATTTGCAAGTACTGAAGAAATGGATCTAGCTCAAAACAAACCAATATGGTATAACAACCATCAAGTAATTTGGAAAAACTATCAAAGAAAAGATCCAAAAAAAAATGAAATATTAAGAAAAAGAAAACAAACAGTATTAGAGTCAAGAAACAGAAGACAAACAATTTCAGAGTCAAAAGAAACAATACAATGAATAGCAAAAAATAATAATGCAAGCAGAAAACAGTTTTTAAAAAATCAAACAGAGTATTTAACAGATAATATAGCAGAAAAAAGAAGCTCAGAGAAGGGAAAAAACAAATTCAAAGCCCAAACTAAAGAAAAAGCTATAAACATGAAAGATATTTTAATAAAGATTTTGAATAAGCTAGAAAAGTTGGAAGAGGCAAGAGGAACAACAATAGAAGGTTTTACAAATCACTCCTAAAACTTGCCACAGTTGAATTAAAGAGACCAGTTATAGAGATAACCTTTTTTTTGCAGGATCAAAGACACAAACAGAAGACAAAATAAACAAAATCTTTACAAACTAATAATAGTAGTAAAAAAGCTAAAAATGAGAAAAGAAGCATAATAGAAAATAAAAGAAAAACATTCATAGAAAAAATCCATTTCAGGAACAGTATAGAATTAAACTTAGTGACACATAACATTAATGGCCTAAAAAGCAATAATCAAAAAATAAAGACATTATACATGTGGGCATTAGACAACAATATTAATATAGTAGAATTGGCAAAAATGAACATTACTGCAAAAGAAGGAAATTTTCTAACAAAAGACTACATTAAGTATAAAAGTTTTTGGGCAAATGCAAATTTAAACAAGAAAAAAGGTTTAGATATAGGGTTTCTAATTAGCAAACAATAGAAAAAACACTTAGACCAAGTAGATAGAATAAGTGGATATATGATTTCAGCTAACTTTATGTTCAAACAAGCAGAAATCTTAGTCATTATGATATACACACCTCTTAACAACAAAGAAAAAAGATTAGTTATATAAAAAAAACTAATAGAAAAATATATAAAACATATAGCAAAAACTCAATTAGTGGTAATAGGTAACCTAAACTGCATAGTAAACACAGAACTAGATAAACTGCAGAAGACTAAACAAAAACCTAAAAAGCAAGACCTGCTTATTAAATGGTTAGCAAGACAGGAATTCCAAGATATCTATAGAACAATTAATCCAAAAGAGAAAAAATTCTCATGGTCAGGCAGAGAACAAGAAACAAGAATTGATTATATATGAGTCACAGAAGGGCTCGCCAATGGGCTATTAGATGCAAAAATTCAAGAGATGGATATTTGGACAAATAGTGATCATGGTGCAATTGTAGCAAGAATGGACTTAAATCATCTTATTGCAGTATATGAAAAAGCAAAAATCAAAAAAGAAAATTTTCAAAAAACAGTATTGCTATTCAACAAAGCAACAAAAGAAAATTGGGACAATTATAAAAATGAACTTAAAGCATAACTAAAAAAGAAAATTACATTACCAGAACTACAGCAAGTCTTGGTAAAAGGTTTGCTCAATAAGAAAGATATAAGACTAGACAAGTGATGGAACATTATAAGTAATATAATATGGGTGATAACAAAAAAATATTGCCTAAAAGATGAGTTCTAAACACAACTGCAAACAAGAAAAAGAGAGTGAGAGAATCAAAACTAGAAAAAACATTTACACAATTAGGAAGATGGATTAGTCTGGGTAGAAAGAATGTTGAAATAGAGTAGTTAAAAAAGAACATAGAAAAGCTTAATGAAGAAATTGAGTATATTAACTAGCAGCATAATACATATATAAAAAAAGCACAAGAACATTGGTTCAAAGAACTAATAACTGATCTCAATACTGGTGGTATATTCTTCATGCAAGGTGAGCATATGAAATTCAAAGGCTCAAAAGAAAAAAAATTGAAGAGAACATTAAAAGAAGATGTATAAAAATAAATGAAGAGCAAGAAAAAATACTAGCAAGTTTTTTAAACAAACCATATAACAAAATTTAAATTAATTGGCTGCTTAAAGAAGAAGGAGAAGATAATTTAAGACAATTAATTACAAAGCCACTAAAGGTATTAAAAGAGACACAAGAGCATTACCAAAATCAATTTAGATCTAGGCAAGTCAAATATGAAATATTCAAAAAGAATTGGAAAGAAATCTATAAGCCAAAGAAATCAATTCAAGCCAACTAGTATCCCTTAGTTTGCATTCGAGGCAAATTTGCCCCAAATTTTAAATTACCAAAAAATTTTCTGGAATACCAGAAAATTTTACTATATAAAAGCTCCCCAGTATCTTGTACCATATTGTATATATACATAACAGCAATTGTTCTAGAAAGTCTCTTGGCCGTTAATACCAACAGTAAAGTTCAACAAACCTCTAACATTTGAAGTGCCATTTAAATTAAATATTGATATATTAAAAAAAAAATTTTTTTTAATATGAATAAAAGTATAATTTAAAAGAAAAAAAAAAATGTCATACATTACCGATGATAATGTTTCTAACAACAATGTGTCTGACTCAAAGTACTTGGCAATCTTTGAGCATCATCACGGAAATATGCTTGTAGACCAAACAATTGAAATTAGTGATTTTGGTGAAGGAGCTTCTAATATTGAAATTATTGAGGAGAGTGAAGAAGAAATTAATGAAATAAACACTAGAGCAACTCGTGAAAAAAGTAAAAAAGGCTGAAGGGGTGGGAGGATAGGTGGCCAGGTAGGTGGGTTAAATGAAACCAGTAAATCAGGCATAATGAATGAAATAGATGATAATATGGGTGAAGCAAGTAAATCAGATAAAAAGGAAAAAAAAAAGGCAATTAGTCATAAAGCTGGAAATAAATCAAACCTTTCAGAATTACCTGAATTTGAGCTGTTACATACCTTTTCTAATCATCATGGTTATTCAACACTACCACATGAAATGCAAATAGGTATCATTAGTCCAATTGTACTATTTTGATTATGTTTTAATGATGAACAATTACAAATAATTGTCGAAAATACAAACAAGTATGAGCAAATTAAGGGTTATGAAGGAGGACGTGTGTGGGTTCCATTAACTTTAAAGGAGTTAAAAGTGTGGATTGCATTAGTTATATATATGAGTGTTCACAAAATTTATGCAGTTGAGGATTTATGGAACTCTAATGAAAAGATGGCGGTTCATAATATTAAACAATTTATGTCATTGTATCGATTCCAACAAATTAAGAAATTTCTTCATATTTTTAATCCAACTGAACCTAAATCTTATTGGTATTCAAAAATCGAACCATTGGCTTCAAATCTTCGGGAAACATTTAAAAAATTATATACTCCTAGTACACGAGTTTCTATTGATGAAATGATAGTTCGGTTTTCTGATTGTAGCATGCATACATTTAAAATAAAAAACAAACCAACGCCAGAGGGATATAAAATTTTTTCCCTTTGTGATGCTGGTTATACATGGACATTTGTATTTTATTCAAGGGTTGAAAAAAATAGTGAATTAGAACATATTAACGGTATTAATGATACAGGCTGTTTAGTTTGGCATTTAGCTAAGCAACTTTCGTGTGGAAAGAACTTTCAAATATATATGGATAATTATTTTACCAGTATTCCACTTTTTAATTTTTTGCGCACTAATAATTTAGGAGCATGTGATACTGTACGTACTAATTCATCTAAATTTCCTAAAATATTAAAACTTGAAAATCCTTTAGTTTTAGATTGGGATACTCTTTCTGTCATGGTAGTTGATAATGTATTAGTAGTTTTATGAATTGATAATAGTCCAGTTTATTTACTTACTACTATTTACCAAATTATTGGTAATGAATGGAAAATTACTTGTAATCGTCATCGTCTACGTATTACAAGTACAAATGCTAGAAAAGTTCATCAGGTTTTTGGTGATAATGTAAGAAAAGAATTAAAAATTCCAAAACTAATTGATGATTATAATCATTATATGGGAGGAGTAGATATTGCAGACCAACTTAGAAGCTATTATAATTGTCAATTAACTGCACATTGTACATGGTTTCCATTATTTTTTTAGCTTTTAGATACTACACTTGTTAATTGTTTTTTGCTTTATTGCAAGATTTCTGATATGGATATATCAAGCAAAGACTTTAGAATTGCTTTGGCATGGGATTTAATTCAAGAAAATCTAAAAATTATGACTAAAAAAATAACTAGAAAAAGACCAAATAATGTATTTTCTGCTGAATCATCAAAAAATAAGCGAGTTGCTTATGTTACAGACAATTTTGAGCTACCTTTATTTTGTTTTTTATCAGGAAATTACTTGGCAGAATGGAGAAACAAAAGAGAATCATGTATTTATTGTCGATATCTAAGAAAACAAAATGAAAAAAATAGCAAAAAAAAAAATAACAAAAAAAAAAAACTGGCACAATATCTCAAAGTCAATTATGGTGCATAAAATGTAATATACCTTTATGTTGTTCTAAAATATGACCTAATTGTTTCAAAGATTTTCATAATACAAATAAATAAATTTATTAAATAAATAAAATTTAAAATAATTTTTATAAATTTTAATTTAAATGATTATAAAATATGCTTTAAATAGTTGTAAAAATATTTATAAATAATATCAAAATATTTTAAATTTGAATAAATTAAATTTTTAAAAAAATTGGCCAAAAGGGATTTTTTATTAAGTAAACCATTTTTTCTTCCTTAATAAAAATTATTCTTTGTGATTTTCTGGTTATAATGATAGTTAAATTATTAAAATTGGTCTAGTAGTTCTTAAGATACTATGCTTCAAAGATAAGCAACTAGAAATTTCTAATTGTTAATCTTTGAGGTATAGTATCTCAAGAACTACGAAACCAATTTTAATGATTTAATTATAATTATAACCAGAAAATCACAAGGAATAATTTTTATTAAGGAAGAAAAGACA